TTTTTAACTAGGATGGGGTGAGAGACGGTGTCAAAGGCCTTGCTGAAGTCCAGAAAGACTACATCCACCGCGACACCTGCATCCATGGCCTTTGTGACCTGATCGTAGAAGGCAATCAGGTTGGTCTGACATGATCTCCCCCTAATAAATCCATGCTGATTTCATTCGTGTCTGCAGGGTTTTTGGGTTTTTTGTTTGTTTTTTTGGGGGGTGGGGGTTCATGAAATAGAGAACAGAATGGGAATGAGCAACGGTGATGTGCCAGAAACATTCCTGATGCAACACATAAAACCCAATCTCTTTGTCTTGCATCTCCATCCACAGGCATCCAAGAGGAAAAATCTCTGTGACTACAAGGGGAAGGACAATGCCTTCCATGTGAAAATACAGGACTAAACCGTCAATGTTGGACCTGCATAGTGTCAACTGAGAATGCTCTATAGCAGGGGTTCCCAAACTCTGGTACATGTATCCCCCTGGGGGTATGCAAGACATCTGAGGGCTATGTAGGAGAAATTGTGTAAGGGCAAATTTAATTTGCATTATAATAAGAACTGGCATTTAAGGGGTTGAAATATAAAATGTATGCTGGTAGGGGTACATGGGCAGCTGGTAAATCTGCAATAAGGAAAAGTTTGGGAACCTCTGCTCTATAAAAAAGGGCAATCCACAGCACCTCAACATCTCACCTTCTAGTGTACTGAAACTTCTAGATGCAGTAATATTGATGTGGTGCCTTCTAATACAAAAGATAAGAGTTTTCCCCCCAACCAAAGCTGTTCTTGACTCATTAAACCAGTGTGCTTGGCATGTTATTATTCAAGGTCAGCAGGTGGCAGTACATGCAGAATATCTGTACTACTGCTTCCTTCAGTTCCCTGACCACGGCAGTAGACGCTTTCTTCACATACTCTAAAATCATTTATTAAATGTGAACAGCAGAGTGACTTTGAAAGGATATTAGCATAAGCACATCAAATGGCCCAATGACTACAGCTTTTCAGTCACAGCTGCTTGATTAAATGTCACTTTAAAAAAAACCCTGATTTTTCAGCTGGGTAGGTTGGGGCCCTCTAGAATCAGAATCAAGAAGAAATTGCTGCACAGGGAACTAAAATACTCATTTAAATAACTTCTCCACTTGTGATTAGTCCTATACAACAGGCACCTGCATACATAAGGAAAAAAATGACTTTTGCTACAGCATGGCTGAGTTGTTGCTGAATGCATTCAGCAGGTGCAGTTGCTGGACAGGGGATTTTTACCCCCACCCTCCTCCCCAAGGTTGCTGAATAAGTTTTGCATTGAGCTTCTGAAATCCTGGAAGAGTTGATCCAGTAAACTGGAGTTCTGGCTTATGCTTTTCCAGATGACTTGTACTGGGTGACTTTTGGAGGTAATAGGAATCTGGTATGCATGAGACATTTAGTGTTAGTGGAAGGTGCTGAATTGAGAGACCTGAACAGTAAATAATCTGCCCAAACAAGTACAGCCTTCTTGGTGACAGTCCAAACAGCTCTGCAATGCTCTGCTCTCATTTCACAAATGTTTCTGACCCCTGCCTAGCAGTGAGATGGTAGCTCAAGCCTTCATGGCGCAGACAGCCTTACTTCTCTAAAAACTTTTAAAAGGTTAGGGCCAATTTTAGTGGGTCTGTGCTTTTCCTCCTGGGAACTGAACTGTGATCAAACTAATTTCATGTAAGACAATACATCTTAAATCTTCTGTCTCATTAAAAGAATGAGATCTTTGTATTTCTGGCTGAAAAGAGATGAAAGACTGTCCTTCTTTTTAACAGTTTCATAAAAGTATGTAATCAGTTAAACTGCAAGTGTAAGTAATAATGGTACTTTTCCTCCGAAACAATTGTCAAATGCTGAACACTTATAGGAATTCAGTCTTTTGTAAAAAGTGATGGTGTCTTAAGAAAACTGGTAAAAGAAATGAGAACTGGGTAGAGGAGAAGACCAAAATGAAGTACAAACTTCCTCAAAATTAGATAAATGAATATACAATGGTCAGACACCTGTTGGGGGAAAGGATGCATGAGTCTCAACCTCTGGACGGCCAAGATGCCTTTAGCATCCTTACAAGGTTATATTTCTGGGAAGTCCAGTTCCAGTCTTACTGATCTCAGCTGTTGAAACAGGACACAGGGTAGCAGGAGGTCTCTTAAACACAGTGAACTTTCATTGATAAGGACTTTAAATAAGTTAATGATACATCAAAGCATAAACACACTGCTTTTCATCTTGAAAACTCTCTGTGTACCTCAGCAATTGAGATAATTTGCTATTAATTAATGCACTTTAAGGTTACTGCAGATTAAAATAAAGTGCAGTAAACTGCACCCGGGAATATGTCTACATGTGCACCCGCATTGGGAAGAACTGATCCAAGACTGCTCCTGCCCCTCTGCAGCAGCCAAGGGGAGCTCCAGGCTGCCCTGGTGACAGCCCCAGGCTGGCAGGAGGCACCAGGGTTCAGGCCTGGGCTCCGGGGAGCAGGGGAAGGAAACTGTCTCAGAGGAGGGGACAGCTCCCAGCCATGTGAAGCTCAGGATCACAGCCTGGCTCAGAGGTACCGGTTTGGGGTGATGCCCTGTGGCCAAGCAGCAGCAGTGCCCTGAGCTCTCCCCTTGCTTTGCTTGCTACAGGGATAGGGGAGCTTTCTGTCCACAGTCCCAGCACTGCTCAGCTCCCAGTTCCTGAGGGGAGCTGAGCAGCCTTGGGACCAAGGACAGAGAGCTCCCCACTCCCTCCCGGTCAGTGTCTGTGTGGCAGGCCAGTGGGGGGTACTGCTGCATTGAGCCACCCACCTCACTGCGCCCGACCACCTTCCAGCCTCCGAGTGCCTCCTTGGGGATGCCTCATGTCCAGCCAACTCCCTTTCTGAACACCTGCAAGCCTGGGGATAACACCACTACCACCCAGGGTCTGGACTGATCTTGGACACATGCCCCCTGCGGAACAAAGGACTAGTAGTCCTTGAGGGTACTTGACTCACTGCATGAACTTGGGGTGCTTCCCTCAGTCTGAAGCACAAATAGTGGTCTCCCTTAGTCAGGCGAACCAAGAGGACCGCAAGACATAATCTAGACCCTCTCCCAATAAGTCTCCCATGCTAGGTACAGAGGAGAACTTTATTGGTTACCGGGAGTAGGTTTGGAATAGGGTACAGGGTTGAGCAATATCATAGAAATACCTTACAGCAAACAGTGGCATGGTAGCCTTTGATCATACACCTGAGTTACTGCAAGCTATATATCTAGTTAGATCCCAAGAAGCTTACTCACAAGCATCATCCAGAGGCAGGTGGAGAATCCCTCTGGAGGCCAGCAGTTCATTGACCATGAGTGTCAAAGAGCAAGTTTCAGAAGATCCAGCTTCTCTGAGAGTTCTCATCATGGCTGCCACGCCAGCCCGCCCGCCCCACCTCCTGGGCAGTACTTAACTTATATAGACCTTATGATTTCATTTACCTGATCCAATGAAGGCCAGTAACTGTTGGCTGCCAGCCAACCAATTTGAAATGCATCACTGGTTGCCAGGTAGACTGACAGGGTCTCTAGCCCCCTCCCATTGCTTAGAACAACAGGGAGTTTAAGCCTGCACCCAGGTGTGTGAGGCCAGTCATGCAGGCAGAGGGAGCAGATTTCCCCCTCCCTCAGGAATGTATCCAGCTCAGGTTACAACTCAGGGTTACCTGAAGCCGATGGGGCCAGAGTTATCTATCCTCTGCAGTGACCACAGTAACCAAATTGTCAGATTAGGCATCTGCCTGATAGCAGAGTTTAGGGAGAGACAGAGATGGCATTCTGCCATAGTCTATACATGTGCTACTACACAGTAACTAATGTGTAGTTAATCTAGTACCTGTATTTCTTGGTACTAGCAAGATGCACATTAGCCCAATTTACTGCACAGTAAATCTTGCGCACGTGTAAGCGATGATGCTTTACTGAGCATTAGATTAGCCTGGTAATCTACTGATTCAATCAATGCAGGCTGGAATGCAACATGCATGTCCTGACTTCAGGCTCTACTTACCAGGTTTAACTAACATTGCATCAAATTGTCCCATGTATTGCACAAATACTTAGATTTCAGAACCAAGGGGATTTCTTGCTTACTTCACCTGTCCAAGACATGAATCCCACAAGACAGCTAGTCAACTGTTTCAGGACAAAAATAATTTTTACCTGTATTATGAAACACTGGTAATGGAAGAAATGACTTCTTCTGTACAGCTTGGCAGAGGGGCTGTTTAGCTGTCATGTGAATATCTCTGAATATAGTATAACAGAACCTGGTGGAAAATAATTATTTTAATGAAAGGGGCCCAACTAAGATTGAACAGCTCTCATCCCTCAAAAAAAAAAAAAAAAAAA